ACAAAATTCAGTATAAGTCGTCACATCATCAATGGGTTCGAGATCGAGGACTGTATCTAGTGCAACCCAATCCCCCAATATATGTACTTAAGCCATACAATCTTTACCTTTGTCATCATTGCTATCACCGTATATCATGATTGTTATATTGAGTGCATATTTTACTGCATTATTCCATGAAATGATCCTCATTGTAGCAAATTGTGCTACAATGAACCAGTTGATAACCCTCAATTTTACCCTAATGTACCTACTAATCTTTGTCATTATTGTGTATTGTCATTATTGTGTATTGTCATATTGTGTATGTCATTATTGTGTATTAATCTAATTTTTGTGTATTGTGTCAAATTTTCTTACAATGTAACTGTAAACATTTTTTTTAATTTTGCTGGAAATTACCGACTTAAAATTATCTGTTAGATCAACGCTATGCGTGCTAGTGGCTTTACAAGAATGTAAAATCATTATTGCAATGTACTCTCTTAACCCCCAATGTACCTTCTTCTAAATAAATAAATAAATAAATGTGCGATATACTAAACGATATCTCTTAAGCATCTGTACTGAGCCTCACTTGGAGTTTGACTGATGATTTGTAGTTGAAAATTTGCCTGAAACGCTGTGCGTATTAGTGGCTAGACATAGTATGTACTAGCTCTGTCTAGACTTCCAACATTATGTTTGTAACTCATTTTGAATATATGTACTTTTACCTGAATAAACATTATCTTATCTTATTAAGCTACCACAAGAGGTGGCACGGGCATGAATAGCCTGTAGGTGGTAGATGTTTGGTCGTGTAACGTAGTTGTTGTTATAGATTCAGCTACTCGGAACAAGTTCCAAGTAACACGGGCTATAGTGAGCCCGTAACTTACCTGGCACAGGAGCGGGGCAAGTAGCATGGGCTATGGTGAGCCCATAACTTACCTGGCACAGGAGCGGGGCAAGTAGCATGGGTTATGGTGAGCCCATAACTTACCTGGCACAGGAGCGGGGCAAGTAGCACGGGCTATGGTGAGCCCGTAGTGAACTTACCTGGCACAGGAGCGGTACTGCTGTCTTCTCTGGTCGTGTAACATCTTGAAGAGTCTGGTGGACGTGATGATGATGTTGTTGTTTTAGATTTAGCTACTCAGGAAGAAATGACGATGTAGCACGGGCTATAGGTGATGATTCGCTCTCGATTAGTTATATTTCCAATTCATACCTCACCTGACCATCCTCTAGCAGATTTGGAAAGAGGTTTTAACGGTGTTAATACTTGGGAAGAGGTATTAATTGTAATTAGTGGACCCAGTAGAATTAATAGACCCATCTCAGTGCAGGAATATCCCTGCAAAAAATATCTGCACATAAGTTAATGAGAATTCATTAGCTTATGTGATAATCATTCATCATCTTTCAGTGAACAACCTTGCACAATCGACACAAATGGATTTGTTAAAAACAGATACTGCCTTACAAACTTGTTCACATTTTTGGAAACGGCTTCTCAAAGGCCTTCCGGTGGATGTAGTAGACATGGATTTTGCTAAAGCTTTCGATAAGGTACCACATGAAAGACTGGCAAGGAAATTACAGTGAAAATCGAAAATCATCTAAAAAAATCGAGGTCACTCTATTACAACACTCGATATATTCTTTTATTTGTATTATATTTATAGATACAAGTTTATATATTCTTGTAAAGCCACTAACACGCATAGCATTTCGGGCAAGTTTTTAATCTTTATTTTCCCTTAAATACGACTCTCCTAATCCAAATCGGCTTATCGAAGGTCCTCCCATTTGTCTTGAGGATCCTTTCCATGAAGATTTTAAAGCTTAGCACAGTTTTGGTACGTACGGATTCGGCGGGTAGGCCGTTCCATGGGTTTATAACCCTGTAGATGATAAAGTAACTCTTGTTCCTAGTCCTACATTGTGGCTTGTTGAACAACAACAACTCTTTTTACCCTTTAATTTCGTCGTTATTACAGGTAAATTGATGCAACCAACATTTAAATCAATTAGATAAACCTAAAGTCGTCATGTTTCCGAAGGTAACTCCACCATTTGAAGGCTCAATTACGAATTAAGTGACAGATCCCTCCCTCCAACCCACCCACAATCTAACCACTTATAACCATAAGAGACGTTTTCTCTCTGCTACCCTCCATAAGAGAAAGCGAACCCAATAATTCCCTGACTATTTTATTTTTTAACAATACCAAAACGCGATCATAGACACTGTACAGTATATGCACAGTATGTTCTTTCAGCGAATAACCCTCACGTTTAAAGGCTTTACATTACAAAATCCGCTCTCACACAAAACCAAAACTTGCACATAACAATATCATACAAAGCCACCCCACTCTTCCCATAATACACCATTCGGTTAATAGAGACAGTCTCCCTATTAGCATGTAAGCAAAGAAACTTTTCTTATGCATCTCAATAAATAATAAATTTCCACGAGCGACATCCCTACCTCCTCAACGTGCCATTATTTTTAAGGTAGGTTCAGATAACATATATATATTTTTTTATATACAGTATATATACAAGAGTTTTTACCAACCCGTCCTCTTAAAAATAACGTCGCTTTTGGCTCGTATGCGCGCTATGGCCCAACCAGCCACGCATAGCGTTTCAGGCAAGTCCTTAATCCTAATGTGTCCTGGAATAAGACCCTCCAAATCGTTTAACAATCAGGTACCCCTTTTACTGTTGGGTAAATAGAGCTACAGTTAAGGATTGAAGCCTTAAGGTTGGAAACTACATTACCAGTCCATAAATGTGGTGTAAGTGTACCAGTCCATAAATATGGTGATCTCACTGATGTCAGCAATTTCAGACCTATATAAATTCTGCCAACCTTGTCAAAAATATTTGAAAAGCTAATCTACAAGCAGCTTTAAAAAAAAAAAAACTCTACTCTACTCTAATCTAGCCAAACTCAATATACTTAGCTCTTGCCAATATGGCTTTAGACCCCAACAAAGCACCAATGATGCACTGATTAGTATGATTAACTTGATTCATACAGCTCTTGATAAAAATGAGTTCCCTGTTGGGTTTTTGTTGACCTACGAAAGGCTTTTGACACTGTCAACCAACACAACCTTCTTCTTCAATTACATCATTATGGAGTCAGAGGTCACTCCCTCCAATACCTTCAGTCTTATCTTAGTGACAGGCTCCAGTATGTTTTGTGAATGATTACATTTCTCTCACCCAATCTCTCTCATTTCTCTCACTCTCATTGGTGTTCCACAGGGCAGCATACTTGGCCCCTCTCCTCTTTCTTATCTACAGTAATGACCTTCCAAATGTCTCTCAACACCCTAAGCCAATTTTATTTGCTGATGACACAACCATCATTTTCTCCGGCCCTAACCTTCTTATTCTGAATGATACAATGAATATTGAACTAAATAAAGTCTATCTTTGGCTAACTGCTAACAAACTCACCCTTAACATTGACAATGCTTTCTATATTTTGTTTGGTAATAAATCCTCAGATCAAATTAATCTAAGAATTAACAATATCCAAATTAGAAAAAGTAACAAAAAGATGGTAAATTCCTTAGTGTTCTCATTGATAACAAGTTTAATTTCCAGAGCCACATTCAACATATAGCAATTTTTTTTATATAAAACTGTTGGCATTCTTTATAAGATCAGATATTATGTGCCTCGCCCTGTCCTTGTAACGCTCTATTACTCTCTCATCCATCCTTATCTCAATTATGGTATCTGTGTTTGGGGTTCTACTACCCAAAATCATCTACGTCCTCTAATTATCCAACACAAATCTACTATTAGAACAATAACAAACTCTGGCCCCAGACAGCACTCGGCCCCCTTACTAAAATTCTTGAATATATTAGATATTAACTCACTGCACAGCCTCTCAATTGTACTCTATATATATATAACTGTAATGCCAATCCTCGCCTTAAACACTTTCTAGAAGGTTATAACAGAATCCATGGGCACCACACCAGAAACAAATATCTATTTGATATTCCAAGAGTGCGACTTAACCAAATTAGAAATGCCCTACAAATCAAGGGACCCAGAATGTGGAATGACCTTCCCAATCACGTCAAAGGCTGTACCTCTCTCAACAAGTTTAAGATAAAACTAAGTACTACATAATAAACTCCATGCATGTAACCTACTTTACCCCCTAAATGTCAACCTATGTCTGCCTATTTTCAAACAATATTGATTATTGACCAACTTGTTAAACTGCTTAAACATGATGGGGTATGCTGATACCCACCATGTATAAACTTAAAGAAAATTGTAGTCTTCTGTTTATTTAGTTAAAATTCTTCTGCTGTTCCATCCATCATGTAATTATTATCATTCTCTTTTTCTTTTTTTTTCTTTTTTCAATTCAATTTATGCTTGTGATCTCAATTAGTATTGAGATTTAGTCTGTTTTTCCTACACCTTGTCCGAAACTGTGTGTGTATTAGTGGTGTCAGGCATTGTATGAACTAGCTAGCTCTATCTAGAAATCCAACATTATGTTTGTAACCCATTTTCAATGTATGTACCTTTACCCGAATAAACATCTTATCTTATCTTACTATATTAATAACCTCACCTCACCCCCCCTAACCTACCATGACTCAGATTTTATATTCAAATAACTCAATTTAACACTTCAAAAGATGTGTAATCACTTCCAATTACGCTCAAAAATAGCACTCGAGCATCAGAGTTGAAATAGCCATCGTAGTTTTGAAACTGCGTGTAAATATGGGCAATATATCATAAATGTCAGTTTTCTTTGTAACCCTTTCCACTACCACCCACAAGATGGGTATGGGGTGCATAATAAATGAACTAAACTACCTCCGTTTTCTCTCATGGTCATTATTTCGGATATAAAAAAGGCGTAATTGAAAACTTCAAATATATGCAATTACGCTGAAGAAATAACAGTCAAGAGTAATATTTACAATATGCATCGTATTTTTCAAACTTCAGGTCAATTTGGGTCAACCCCGACCGCTCTGTGCTGCAGCTGCCCCTATCACAACCTCCAACAACAACAACAGCAGCAGCAATGTTATCGCAGGTAAGTACTTACATTATGGTGAGAGGCGAGTACTTACCTCACGTACCACTAGTGAGTGGTTATCGTGGTTGAAGGTGGTTATCGTCCCTGATAACACCTTGTACAACCCGTCAGTACTGCCCAACTGCCTCCTCTCACACACATGTAAGTGATATAATCTCGCTTGAATCATAGAGTTACGTACTGTATAGCCTAATTGAAACAATGTCACTGAAAAAAGTAGAATGTGATAATGGTTTCTCATTGTCAAAGACAGAAAAAAGCCAGATAATAGACTTATTGAGGTTCTAAGCCAATAACCGGCGTTTCCTAGGATGTAACTCACAGTGGTTGCTAAACTCAGAGTCCTGTTTAATGCTAGGTGGTCAAAGCAATTAGGTGAAAGGAAACTTTCCCATACGTGTGACTTGCTTAGCTAAATGAACTGTGGGGTTCAGTCCCAGAGCCCATTATGTGTCTCTGTAACCCTTTCCACTACCGCCCACAAAATGGGTATGGGGTGCATAATAAATGAACTAAACTAACGTCTCCATTCTGTAATTATATTAAAGTGTAGTTACAGGATGGGAGCTATCCCATCCTGTTTCTCATGGTATCTCGTTTTCCCTGTACTCCTTGTCATAGGTTCTAAGGTTTTTTTTGCCAGCTTTGTTTCCTTAATTTAAACCTATGCCCTCGTGTTGCTGAAGTTGCAATTTATTTATTTTTGTAAATTTTGTCAATTCCTGTTACTGTTTTGTATGTAGTGATCATATCGCCTCTTTTTTTTTTTCTTCTACTAGCTTTGGTATATTTGCCTTGTACAGTAGCTCCCATTTTTCTGTTCCAGAAGCCATTTAGTTGTATGTCTTTGCATTTCTTCTAGTTTAATGATGTCCTTCTTAAGATATGGGCACTATACAACCACTGCATATTCCAACTTGGGTCTCCCAAAGGTTAGTTAGTTTAGTTCATTTATTATGCACCCCATACCCAATTTGGGCGGTAGTGGAAAGGGTTGCAGAGGCATATAATGGGCTCAGGGACTGAACCCCACAGTTCATTTAGCTAAGCAAGTTACAATCTTGATGAGCTAGTTACAAAATTCAATATAAGTTGTCACATCAACAATGGGTTGTGTATGGTTGTGCATAATTTTTTTAAATATTTCACCATTTGTGTATTTAAAAGCAATTCTAAATTCTTTAAAATCTTTTTCACAAAATTTGTAGGTTGTGTGGGGCTTATTTTCTTTAATTCCAAATTCCACAATGTGGCATTTATTCACATACATTTGCCAAGTGTTGCTCCATACACTTATTTTGCTCAGATCTTCTTTAAGGGCATGACAGTCATCATAAGTTTATCTTCCCTAGAAGCTTGGTATCATCAGTATAATTGTGCATTCCTTCTGGTTGATTGTACATTACTGGTGCTAGAACTGAACCATGTGGTAACACTTCTCTAGTCTGATACATTGCTTCTGATTACTGCCCTTATTTTCTGTTAGAAAATTTTTCTTCCATGTCAGAAGTCTCCCTGTTAGGTCTTCCAGTAAGTTCCAGTTTCCAGAACAACCACTTCTGTGATACTCTTTTGTAAGCCTATTTCAAGACCAGATAAATGCAGTTAGCCTAACCGTCTCTCCTCAAGCCTGGCCTGGTCAAGCCTGGCCCCAGGTCGGGCTCGGGGAGTAGAACTCCAAAACCGCTCTCCAGGTATGCTCCTGTAAAATCTCTGTGGCTCTTAATAAAAATTAAAACTAATAAAAATTAAGTAGATTTGTTACACTTAATTTTCCTGTTTGAAAGCCATACTGTTTGTCTGTTAGTGTCCTTTATCTTCAGGTGTTTTACCCATTTGGTTTTATAATTTTTCTAGTAATTACCAAAGTGTAGTTACAGGATGAGAGCTACACTCGTGGTGTCCCATCTTCCTAGCGCTGTCATATAACACTTTGAAACTACTGACAGTTTTGGCCTCCACAACCTTCTTACTTAACTTGTTCCAACTGCCTAGTGTTTTGACTACCATGCATGTCAATGATACAGGTCTATAATTAGTGTTGTAGATAGTCCAAGGTATATCAGAATGTTTGTCACTGAACCACTGGTGGAGTTAGACTGAAGATGCTGCAGGTCCAACACCTGACTGTGTTGAACCCAGTTTTGTTTCTAACTTGGCTGACTAAAAGCTTGTTTACCAGTTCATAGAATTCTTGCGGGGTAATTTGAGTAACTGCTACCAGTGATATGTGAGATTTCTGTATGTGTAGAATTCTTAGGGATATGTTACATATATCATTAGTGGTAGGTAAATAGGTTTGTGGATGTCATGTGGGATTAATGGAAACTTTTAATTGCTTGTACAGGTAATAGAACTTATGAGAATTTGGAGCAGCTATATTACTCTTAATACAGTAGAGTTGCTTATTGTGATAAATGGTTTATCATCATCTACTCATATTAAATGCAATGTTATGAATACCTTATTATTAACTGCATCTTGGATACATTGTGTGGTTGCATTATTAACATATACCCATATTAGATACATTGTGATGAATGCTTTACTATTAACATCTACTTATAATAGACAAATTATTGTATATGATAAATCCTTTATTATTAACATTTACCTATATTGTATATACGAATATCTAATAACACAATAGCAATATAATGCTGATCCAAAGGCTTTACATTGAAGGTATAATATTATCTACTTATCATGTACCAATTTTTGTGTTCATTTTTATGTTAAGCACAAATACACATTGGAAATTCAAGACTTGATTACTAAAATGTGTATCTTTTGATACACATTTTATCCACATCATCCTCCATCCATGAAAGTACTGTAATACCAGTGAGATAATTTAACAGACTGGTAGCAGACACACAGGTTTTCTCAGTTGTTTCTACTGTAATATATACTGTACTATGATATTGGTTCTTCATGACAGGAAATTGGAAGTTCCACATCCTGACATCAAGTACATTAGTCATGTCTACACAGTCAGTCAAACGGATCAGACTGGAAGAAACGTTTTCACTAGCACCACTTCCATCCCAAAGGAATATTAACCAGATGTGGCTGGAGAAAGTGTTAAGCCACAAGTTGGACACAGGTGTTAGCATTCAGTCATGGACTGTTAAATCACCAGAGAGAAGAGAGGGCTTTTCTAGTGAAATCTGTTTTGTTAGGGTTTCCTACTTAACCTCAAGAAAAATTCTTGAAGAAAGAGCCCTTGTAGTTAAGTTTATGCCGCAAGATAGGAAGGTAGTGGAGTTCATGAATAGTGGCAACCTGGGTAAGAGAGAAGTGGAGTTTTATAAATATACTCACTCTAAGGATTTTAGAGTATTCTTCCAGAAATGTGGCTTAATTAACCCAGTTCCAGATGTATATTGGGCAGATATAAAAGGAAATGTGCTAACAATTGTTTTGCCTGATTTAAATATTTATGGCTACAAAGTATTGGCACCTGCTGAAGGAAATTCTGTAAATCAGGTAAAATGTATCTTCCAGTCCATCTCTGTAATTCATGCCTTGGGTATTGCTACCATTGGGAAGCATGGTGAGCACTCTCTTAATATTCCTTGGAGCTATAATTTTATAGAACCATGTGTTAAAGAAGGCATTGAAAAGCAAATACAAATTTTTGATAGAACACCTACAGCAGATACCTTAAAATCACTTCTTCCTTTATCAGCAGAGTTGATCACTGTGTCCCAAAGGTATCACTTTATTAATACCATTATACATGGAGATCTCTGGGCTGGCAACATTATGTTTTCTAATGACAATAAATTGGCCTATATTATCGACTGGCAGTTTGTCTCAATTGGTAACCCAGTGTGTGACATTATATGTTTTCTTCTTTTGAGTGCCAATCCTTCTGTGTATAATGAACACTTGAATGAAGTTCTAGAGTTTTACTGGGAAAATTTTGAGCAGGCTTTGAAGAAAACTGAAATATCAGTCAATATTTCCTTTCAAGATCTAGTTAAGAATGTAGAAAGCATGTGGATATTTGGCTTTATGTTCTTGTCAGCAGCACTTCATGACTTGATGGATACCTCGAAGATGAGTGAAGGGAGGTTGCAGAGTATTATTTTCTTCTTGAAGAAGAAGAATGTGTTTGACAAATTTCTCAAGTCATGCCAATAGCATTTATTTCATGAATCACAAATACCAAATATTGTATACTGAAACTAGTGTAATATTATTTTTTAGTTATAATAAACTACTATATTTAATAATAAATCTTCATAGCAAACAGAATTCAGTAAGCTATAATGTTCAGATCTATGAGAGGCAGTTATCAGTAGTCAATGTTGGCCTTTACTGTGTTAAAGCCCATAGTCATATTTATATTGTGAACATACTACTCATGATACTCCTTTACCAAGTGATACTGTACTATATAGCTCTTTGGCCAGAATCAATACCACAATGGCCTGATATTGTACCTGCAAGCAACATAATTCTAACCACACTATGGTACAGTATTTGATTATCATCCCTGTAGGTATTACATCTAAAGATTAGATAATGGTGTTATTTTATAAATAAACTTCTCGGCTATCAAGTCATACCATAGGTTTTTCCAGTGACATAGACTTCATTTATATTTTTTAATTCCACTTTGAACAAAATTTTTGAAAAGGACCTGTTTTGTTTTAAGTCAACACTGTGGGTGCTACAGCTTTATAGACACGGGTGGTGTCTGTACTAATGGTCTAGTATAGGCAACTATTATCCTATAATTCTCCTTGGTTTTATTTTATTTAAGTTAAATTATTTAAAAGTGTGTTAAAGTTTGGTTAACGATTGATAGTTTTATTATTTATTACAGACTGTTTGAGCCATTATTCGACATCATAGAGATTCAGATAACACCCATAGGAAAATGGAGAACAATTCAGTGTTGGAACCTCTCCATAGCGAGAAGGAATTGCAACAACAGTGGCTGGAAAAACTTTTCTTAAAAAAACTTGGCTCTCTTGTGACTGTTCTTTCATGGCATTGTGTTACCCCTAGTGATCGTGAAGGGTTTTTAAGTGATATTGCCTTTGTGAAAGTTAGGTATACAAGCCAAGATATAAAAGAAACTGAAAGCCAACTAGTTTTTAAATTTCTTCCTCAAGATGATGTAAAAAAGCAATTTGTATTGGATGGAGGTCTTGCAGAACGTGAGGCAGAGTTTTATAAGATTACCAGGAATCCAGTATGTCGGGAAATTTGCCACAAAAGTGGAATAGTCTTGCCAGTTCCTGAATGCTACTTTGCTGGTTATACTGAGGACTGTATAACTATTGTGATGCAAGATCTGAACACTGAAAATTACAAAACTTTGATTGTAAAAGAGGGCAGCACAGTAGCTCAAACTAAAACAGCTTTAAGGGCTATTGCTGTTATACATGCCATTGGGTACTTGTATTTGGCACAATACAAAGGTGCAGGAAACCTAGGCACAATTGCTCAGCCAGTGAGTTCAGATATTCTTGACCAGTTATTCATTCCAAACTTACAAACTCTTGCAAAAATGTATGAAGGTACTCCAACTGCTGATACCATAAAAATGCTAATACCCTTTACTACATCACTTCATAATTATCCACTTAAATATCCACTTTTCAACACATTTCTACACGGGGATTATTGGGCAGGACAGCTTCTGTTTTCTGATGATGAGACTAAAGCCATAATTATAGATTGGCAATTTTTTTACATTGGTAACCCAGTATGTGATATCATGGCTATGTTTTTTATGAGCAGTGATATAAATGTTTTAGAAAATCATTTAGAAGAGGTGATGAATGACTACTGGTCCACATTCACCAAAGTTATCAAGGCTAATGGAACAGAAATTAATATTACCTTTGACCAACTAATGACTAATGTAGAAGATCTTTGGGTGTCTGGTTTTATTATCCTTGTAGCAAGCATTCATGATTTCATTCCTGCTGGGAACTTAACTGATGAACGATTGAGAGCAGCAATTAAGTTTTTGGAAAATAGAGGAATGTTTACAAAACTCATAGATGAGTTAAGCTGCCATAAATTATGATCTGTTTTTTAATTTCTCATGACCAGGTTATATCCTATAGCATATTGCAAAAGTCAAGTATTTACAATAATTCTGAATGGAAATGTGGTACCTGTACAATATTTTAATATTGAATTGCTATGCACCAGAGCTTATAATGATATTACCATCAGTTACTTCAGACAGAATGCATGAAAAAGCATTAAATCACCATACAAATATAGTGTAGGATGATATCAGGACTATTTCTCTGACCCTATTAGCACATCTTCATGCATTTAGATTTGTTTTCAGCAATTGGACACCATACTGTATTTCAATTTGCAAAGAGTTTGTCTGTTAACTAATTCTTCAAGGCACACCATGGGTTCTGGTCCATTACAATCAGTTTAAGCAATTTCGCACTAAACTACAATAACTATATCTAACAAGGTCTCTGCCTTTATTTTGCCAGATAAAAGAAGTTTTCCTTTACTGTTGTTGTTACATTTTACTGCACTGCCTGCAATATAAAGTCTCACTGGGTAGGAGGTTAATTAAAGTACTGTATAGAACAATGCTTGAAACTTGCCATATATTACAATATTTTTGTGTATAATACTGTATTGTATTATATTATTGATGATACAATGGTGATATGGTCCTGGGTACAGCGGTCTAGTGATGTGGGGTTGCATCCTCAGCTTACAACAGAGTTTTCCAGGTTTGCTCCCCATGCTGAACAGATGGTTGGGCACGTTTTATTTCATTTGACGCTTATGTTTATTTAACAGTAAATAGATACCCTGGAGTTAGGCAACTGAATAAGTCTAATGAAGTTCCTGTCCCTGGCTATGGGAAACCATAAAGTGAACTATATAAAGAAACTAAGAATTTTGCAGTAAATTGTGACAAATGATGACACTCTTGGTGGACTACCATCCTTGGTAAAATTAAAAAAGTAGTCCCTATTTGTCTGTCAGAGTTAGGCATCATTGTACTGCACTATTATGCACTATCCACATCATTTTTATTGTTTAGGTTTATATTCCTTGAAATGTGGTGTAGTCTTTCAAACAGGACTTGATAATGTACATTTTAAACCTGCCCAAAAATTTCCTCTGCCTGTGAATCAAACTCAAAACCAAGCAGTACTCGCCTAGTTGTGCTTGCGGGGGAGGGGGGGGGTGAGCTTTCGTCCCGCCTCTAGACTGTCAATCAACTGGTGTACAGATTCCTGAATCTACTGGGCTCATTTGAAACTGTGTATAGAGTCTGCCTCCACCACTTCACTGCCCTATACATTCCTGAAAAAATTATTTCTAACGTCTCTCTGGCTCATTTAGGTACTGTACAGTACTAAGTTTCCACTTGTGTCCCCTTGTTTGCATCCCACCCGTGCTAAACAGCTTATCTTTATCTGCCCTGTCAATTTCATTGAGAATTTTATAGGTAGTGATTATGTCTCTCCTAACTCTTCTGTCTTCCAGTGTCGTGAGGTTTAGTTCCAGCAATCATTCCTCATAGGTATCGTAGCTCATATCGTAGCTCATACCTCTCAGCTTGGGGACTAGCCTGGTGGCATACCTCTAAACCTTTTCTAGCTTTGTTTTGTGTTTGACTAGAAGCAATTGAAAGACAACTGCATTTTTAAATCTTAAATATTTAGAGCACAGTCCATATTAACAGTTGGTTTGTAATTATGCAGTGTGTCATATTGAGTCATAAATTTTACTTTACTATAAATTGTTGGTGTATATAATTTCTGTTGTCGAAAACAGAAAGCCTGTTCTTGCATCAAGGTCCTGCTAGGTTGAACTACTGACATTCTGCTTTAAGCAACTCACAACAGTTGTTTAACTCTTGGGTACCTATTTACTGCTAGGTGAACAGCGCATTAGGTGAAAGGATAGCATCCAACCATTTATGTCCTTGATGGTGAGTTAAGAACGTAGCCAACTGTACAAATCTTGCATCGTATGTGTGGGTGAAGCTTTTCAAGCCTTTTTTTTGGCAGTTCACACTTCCTAATACCTTGCAGGACTTGTATGGATATTGCCTTGTGTACCTTCGCATATGTTTGTGGTGATATATGGTGTTTTAAATGTATATTGAATATTGTTTATAATGCTATTATGCAGCAGCAAAATAAAATAAAAAATGGATTTTTTTAGTCTTATTTTTTTTAATCTAACAATAGCGTGATCAATTTGGCCCAGTTTTGCATGTAAAAAATGCATACAACAATTAAGAACTACAAACAAAACTGCTATAAAATTTCAAAGATTTACTGCGGTACCTTACTGCTATACAAGCAAGGTTAGTTTCAATTTCATCATGGTAATAACAAATTTCAGTGCAATCCTTCGTAAATATTTACATTTAAAACAAAATACCTGTAACATACAACAATTACTATATGAACGAATGATTGTAAACAAACCAATTTAGTGTTATAACAAGGGTGTGGGGTTAGCGAATGCTGACAGTACTATAATTTTTTTTGTGAGCCCCATTGGCTCCCTGAAGCTGTCTCACTGAGATTGCTCCATGCAAGTGGGTCAAATCCTACCCCTACTAGGGACCAGTCAAAACTTGCCCCCCCTCCCTGCCCCCCACCCTCACAGACACCAGCACTTCAAATTTTGGATGTTACTGCAGTGTACAAATACAGTAAGTCCATATGTATATGTATACAGAGATGCCTCTGTTCACCTAGCAGTAAATAGGTACCTGGAAGTTAATCAACTGTTGTTGGAGGCATCTTGGGAAAGATCAGTATTTAGCCTAAGATGACCCAAATAAGTATTAAAGGCTTCCTGTACCCAACAATGGAAAACTATAAGACAATATTTACAAAAGACATGAAGAGACAATAAAATACAGAGCTGTGATACAGTATCTGGACAGAGGTATTCAGCACATTCATTTATGAAAAGATAGAATAAAATTGTTGCAATAACAAATGCATGCTTAAAGTTTGTATATACAATACTATACATGTACTCTCAAAACACTGAATATTACAAGACTATAGATTGATATGAGAATGTTGCAGTCTGTTTCCTCTTTCAGAGTGTTTTGAATGCAACTCTGTGGATCATCATCAAGAGAAGATGGCAACAAATTTGGAATTACAGCCCCTACAGAGTTATAAGGAGATAGACCAACAATGGCTAAAGCTAATGCTCTCAAAAAAATTTGGTTGCAGTATTTATGTTCACTCCTGGTCATCAACTTTGCCAGAAAAACGAGAGGGTTTCTTAAGTGAAATTGCATTTGTAAATGTAAAGTACACAGCTAAAGGCAGCAACGAGTGTGAAACACAGTTGGTGTTCAAGTTTCTGCCACAGGATGCAGACCTGATGAGATATTTAGCAAATGGAGGCTTAGCAAGGCGTGAAGTTGAGTTTTACCAGTTTGCCATCAGTCCAAGTTTTCAAGAAATGTTACAGAAATGTGGACTAGTTCTTCCTATACCTGAAGTCTATTATACTGGTTACAAGGAGGATGCTGTAACTATTGTTTTGCGTGATCTTAGTGTAGACAAATATAAAAGTGTAATTGTGAAAGATGGCAGCACTCTGGCCCAGACCAAGACAGCCCTTCAAGCTGTTGCAGTCCTTCATGCTGCTGGAGTTCTCTACTTGCAGCAAAATGGCAAAGATAATGCCCTGTCATACTTAGCAACTGAATTTAAGACCAACTTCTGTGACGAGTTATTCATTTCTAATCTGAAAGTTCTTGCAAGAATGTTTAAAGAATCTTCATTAGCTGACACCTTTTCCTCCCTTATTCCCTTGGTTAAACATATCCACTCAACTCCTCAGAGATATCCCTTATTGTATACTATTGTTCATGGGGACTTGTGGGCTGGCCAACTTCTTTTCTCTGATGATGAAAGTACAGTGAGCATAATTGATTGGCAGTTTTGTCACATTGGCACTCCTGTTAGCGACATCATGTCCATGCTTTTTATGAGTAGTGATCCCAAAATTTTGAAGGAGAATCTGGGAGAAGTCCTGGAGAACTACTGGTGCACTTTTTACAAAGTTGTCACAGCAGGAGGAGCAAGTGTTGAGGTGAGTTTGGAGGAGCTTTCAGCCAATGTGGAAGAGATGTGGATGTATGGCTTTATGTTCCTGGCAGTCAGCATTATGGATTTCCTGAATGGGGACAGCATCTCTGACTACAGGGTTGATGGAGCTTTACGCTTCTTGGAAAAAAAGGGCGTTTTTAAAAAGTTCTTGGAAGAGTTTGAACATTGATTTTTAACAGGCAGATTATACAAATTCAAAACAACTTACGGCGTTTTTATATAAAGCATTTTAATGTGTTAGAAACTTATGTTATTCAGATAAAGAATATATAAAATGTGATATTAAAGGCAATGGCCATATTTCTTTCACTTTTGTTATTCATGTTGTTTGCTAATTAATTTTAATTTTTAAGTCTAACACGTGTTTGTCCAGAATGGTGCCCATATCTCAAGAATATTCTTGAGATATGGGCACCGTACCTTAATTTAGTTTAGTTCATTTATTATGCACCCCATACCCATCTTGTGAGTGTGCCTCTGTAACCCTTGTGGAAAGGGTTACAGAGGATGGGCTCAGGGACTTGAATCCCACAATTCATTTAGTAAGCAAGTTACAATCTTGATGAGCTAGATACAAAATTCAATATACGTCGTCACATTATCAATTGTGATGGAGTTTTCAGTCACGTTATTTGACTCCTCGTCTGCATTATCAATGGGTTCGAGATCGACCAAAAGTAGTTTCTAAATTAAACAACTGACATATGTGGAGAGCTAGTGTCATAATTTATATGTTTGTCCTGCACCCTCCCCCCCCCATCCAAGTGGTGGATTAATCACTTAGTTACTACCTACAGTTAGCAAACTGGGGATATTTGGCTAAAATTTCTGGTAGCAGATCATTTTGAATGAAATATTTACGCATCTTTGGAACATTTGTTATAGGCCAATATATTTTCCAATTTTGGTCTCAATAAAGTTGTAAACAATTTGTTTGGTATTTCACCATCCTATAATTATAATTAAGAAGCAATTTTGAAGTGTTACATAGTTTAAAGTATACACGCTGTGTTTCATTTATATACTCATGTAATTATTGAGTGCAATTTACTGTATTTTTTATTAACAATAGACGACAGTACAATACTGACACTTGTACTTTTGTCTTTAATATGTTTTAGAAGCAATGTATAATAATAGTAATAATAATGAAAATATTTTATTTTATTTTGAGAGGATTGTCTTATTTGTCTTCTCCGTAGTATCAAGATCCTTTTTTTGCTCAGATATATGATTTCATACATGGAAGGAGTTTGTATCATTTCATTGCCACTACAGTAACCTCGTCTTTCTTCCTACTTGGCAAAATATGCACGAGTAACTTGAATTCAACATTCAATTAACGCTACCTAGGTCATAAAAGTATTTGTGTGTACGTTTGATACCATACTACTTGTGTTAAGGAGGAATGCATATGTTTATCTCTCAGAATGGTCGGTAGTATGTTTATTGTTTGTGATGTGTGTGTATGTATGTATTAACACGATGTACTGAACGGGGTGAGAATAGCTTGAGCTACCTCATCCCTTTGTGTGTATTTTACCTCAATAAACTTATTTCAATTTCAATTCAATTAACGCTATTCGTGCATATCTGGCCCACTGCTATAGAGTTAGTCAGATTTTAACATTGTTAATAGAAAATGTCCATGTATTTAATCTCTGGCGACATTTTTTTTATTAACAAGCTTAAGTATACACAGCAATGTGCTGCTACCCTATTCTATAGGAAAGATTACACAGTGTAGATAAAAAATATATATGTAGTAGTAATAATAGAGGAAAAATAAACTGGTTAGAAAGGCGGGGTCAAAGAGCTAATAGCTCGATTCTGCAGACACGGCAGTAAATACCATGCAAAGGGGCCTCCGGCGGCAACAATGAATGCAAGGACAGAAATATATGGTATCTCAAGAATATTCTTGAGATATGGGCACCGTACCTTAGTTTAGTTTAGTTCATTTATTATGCACCCCATACCCATCTTGTGAGTGTGCCTCTGTAACCCTTGTGGAAAGGGTTACAGAGGCACATAATGGGCTCAGGGACTTGAATCCCACAATTCATTTAGCTAAGCAAGTTACAATCTTGATGAGCTAGATACAAAATTCAATATACGTCGTCACATTATCAATTGTGATGGTCAACATTTTTCAGTCACGTTATTGTGACTCCTCGTCTGCATTATCAATGGGTTCGAGATCGACCAAAAGTACAGTTTCTAAATTAAACAACTGACATATGTGGAGAGCTAGTGTCATAATTTATATGTTTGTCCTGCACCCTTCCCCCCCCCCCATCCAGTGGGCAGTGGTGGATAGGTTATAATCACTTAGTTACTACCTACAGTTAGCAAACTGGGGATATTTGGCTAAAATTTCTGGTAGCAGATCATTTTGAATGAAATATTTACGCATCTTTGGAACATTTGTTATAGGCCAATATATTTTCCAATTTTGGTCTCAATAAAGTTGTAAACAATTTGTTTGGTATTTCACCATCCTATAATTATAATTAAGAAGCAATTTTGAAGTGTTACATAGTTTAAAGTATACACGCTGTGTTTCATTTATATACTCATGTAATTATTGAGTGCAATTTACTGTATTTTTTATTAACAATAGACGACAGTACAATACTGACACTTGTACTTTTGTCTTTAATATGTTTTAGAAGCAATGTATAATAATAGTAATAATAATGAAAATATTTTATTTTATTTTGAGAGGATTGTCTTATTTGTCTTCTCCGTAGTATCAAGATCCTTTTTTTGCTCAGATATATGATTTCATACATGGAAGGAGTTTGTATCATTTCATTGCCACTACAGTAACCTCGTCTTTCTTCCTACTTGGCAAAATATGCACGAGTAACTTGAATTCAACATTCAATTAACGCTACCTAGGTCATAAAAGTATTTGTGTGTACGTTTGATACCATACTACTTGTGTTAAGGAGGAATGCATATGTTTATCTCTCAGAATGGTCGGTAGTATGTTTATTGTTTGTGATGTGTGTGTATGTATGTATTAACACGATGTACTGAACGGGGTGAGAATAGCTTGAGCTACCTCATCCCTTTGTGTGTATTTTACCTCAATAAACTTATTTCAATTTCAATTCAATTAACGCTATTCGTGCATATCTGGCCCACTGCTATAGAGTTAGTCAGATTTTAACATTGTTAATGGAAAATGTCCATGTATTTAATCTCTGGCGACATTTTTTTTATTAACAAGCTTAAGTATACACAGCAATGTGCTGCTACCCTATTCTATAGGAAAGATTACACAGTGTAGATAAAAAATATATATGTAGTAGTAATAATAGAGGAAAAATAAACTGGTTAGAAAGGCGGGGTCAAAGAGCTAATAGCTCGATTCTGCAGACACGGCAGTAAATACCATGCAAAGGGGCCTCCGGCGGCAACAATGAATGCAAGGACAGAAATATATGGTTTTCATTTTGTTATAACTTCAAATAATAAAAATAAGTGTATGACTGATGGAATAGCAAAAAATTAGATTAAATACCTCGTATAATAAATCAATATTAGTTTTTTATTCACATTTCACCGGCAACTTGTCCCACAGTTGCCGGTTAATTAATAAGGTCGAGAGACGTCTGGGCGGTTAGTCTGCGGTAGACGCTCGTGCAGTTCGGGTGGGCTGTAGAGGTGGTTGTCGTTGTGATTACTCTAACGTTGCTAGCAAAAGGTTTGGTTATGTAACATTTAATGACTCCATTATGAAACCGCTACGAGTGAGAAACTATTGAAAAAAAAAAATATATATATATATATACACCGAGAGGTGTACTCTGCTTTTATATTTAAAGTTTAATTACTTCTAAACGAACAAGACTAATATATTAGTTGCTAGTTAATGAGAAAGTTGTCGTGGTAGCCTAAATAACCTCATAGACATTTATAGGTCTTGAGCTTAAATCCAAACCAAATAATTCACAGATTTTCAGGTTTGCATGCAATCTAAGTTTGTGCAGTTGCTTGTTTTAATGGCATATTAGGCCTACCAACAATTATGACGAAGTTTGTCCTTTTTACAGTCCTCGACAATAGCCGTTGGCCCTGTCCAATATAGAGGCCTTTGCAAGTGATGTACTTAAAGCCTACCCCTTGAGCTTGAGTTTTCTAACGCTAGATAACGATATTATTTGCACATATTGCATATGTGGTAGATATACCGCGTGATTCCCTCTAGTAGTACACATCTTCAAAAAATGTTTAAAGCTACAATAGATGGAATGTACAGAATATGGATTGTTGTACCAAAATGTAGTTGGTTTTGTACTGTTGGAATTCTAAAGGTTATAGCAAAATTAAACACTACCTGTCCGAGGCCAAAATAAGGAATCCTAGGCCTAACATACAATCTTAGGCCTAATTTATTACTTGTGTAATAAAACCTAAGAAGAGTCAGATTTGGTTGGTTGTCTTGAGCCCTCAAAACAAAACAAAAATTAAAAAATACAAAACAGGGCTTTTTTCAATGCAAATCCATATTTTAAATTGCCGTCCGCAGTAGCAATAGCTACTATTTGTTGATGACGGGGTGATAACTGGCTGCATTCAGAGCATAATTTTATTAAATGCGAGGTAACAAAATAATTGTTTTAATTAAATTTAAAAAATACATAGTTGCTATATATTTATTTATACATATATAAATGAAACAGGAATTTCCTTAAGTACTTTCGTATTTAATAACTTATTATTTCGACTTAAAGTCGAAATTTTATCAAGAAGTTTGATGCTCCTTTGTTATTTCTGATTATTTTTTCAATTAAAGTTATATAGTTTAGGTTAATTTATCTACATAGAATGCGTCAGATTCTGGGAATATCAACAAATAAATTTGGGATGTTCATACATCCCTTAGGAAGTTTAAATTCAGGGCAAGTATTGGAGTAAATGGCTTTGTAGATATAAAAGAGCACAATAGATTGTCTGTTCAACATATTTTGGCACGCAAACACACGTGTTGTGTAAAGATGGAACTTGTTACGGTTTTGGTAACTGATTATGGGTGGTGATGGGTTTGAGATAGTCTACTTTGCCGTGGTTGAACTCCAAGGTGGGATACCCTTAGTATTAGTAATACATTGGGAGAAGAGCGGAGTATAGGGCAATATGTTATTTTGTACAGTATCATATAGCTATTGTTTTGGATATATTTTTGGTTGCGATGTTAGTTAAATCCGTTTTTGTAATGTATAATCTTAAAAGCATCGGCTTTCCTGTTTTTACTAAACATTTGTATTGCTTATATTTTTTTTTTTTACTTCTCGTGTGAGAGGAGTATCAAATTTACATTCGTTTTCAGCACTGGATAGTGTTGTCCATTTTCGTGCTGGCCATTCCTTCGTAGGGAGTGGAGGATTGAGCGTAATTTAGAAAATGAAGCATTTTTTATTCGTTAGTAGCCTTATCCGGCGAGACAACCTCGCAGTGAAATGGTTCTCGATTATCTAATTTTAGTATAATGCGAGAGTTGGAGTATTGCTTAAAAAAATTATATATCCAAAGGCTATTCATAATAGGATAAATATGTTTCAGGTTTCTACTGATATTTGCATAACAACTGTAATTAACGTGTAGTGTAGGACAAGACTATACCCCCAAATTTGATTATTCCGTAAAACCATCTCGAATGTACGCAAGTGACTACCTGCTCCTGCCCATTTCACCTAACGTCAGGCAACCCGTTCTACCCTACGCCCTCTTCGCACCCGCCTACGAGCTCCACCCTGGCTAACGTCCATTTTCTACTAAATTTCACCTGGGAACCGGCTGGCAAAGTAACCTAGGAGCAGAGGAAGCGGCGGTGAGGGAGCGATGGGCAGGCACTCCCAGAGACAGGTGCTTCTGGGGGCGTTCGCCGTCTACTCCATCATCGCCCTCAGCACCAACGTCTTCGACCACATGGAGCCTAAACATAGCATATTCAGGCTCGAGAAACTGGTGAGTGTGATTTTGTCCTGCTTGTTTGTAACCAGAGAGTAGGAATGCCCTGAACACATCACAGTAACTTGTATATTGAAAACTGGAAAAAGATTGACATTAATTATTAGTGTAGGTATTTTATTGAGCTTTAGGGGGGAGAGAAAAGGGAGCTAGGGGGGCAGAGCGGAGAGGGAGCTATGGGGGGGGGGGGACGGGGAAGAGGAGAGGGGGCCCTCTATAATGCTCACTAAACCAATCAAAACAAAATAACACCCAATGGCTTACTAAAGGCCTACTTGAATCGCTACAAAAAAATCATAAACACGAGAAGAAATCCAGATTAGGGGTCAGTGTAGTGTACTGTGACAACTAATAATAACAAACAGCTTTCCAGTGACCCTGTAAAATCGCCATAGGTCAAACAATTGTGTTAACGAAAAGACCTACCAATTATGTATAACGATTAACTGTTATACATAGTAAATACAACTGTAAATAAACTATAAGTATAAACTGTAAATACATAGTTATTGAAATGTAACAATCTCTGCTATTAGCTGACAGTATAATTATAAGGTGTGCAGGATAGATAGATGTTCTTGTTAGTGTACTAATCTCCGTTGAGGTCTGATAGACATTTTGTGCCGTCTGTAATCTTTTTTTTTGCGCTACCTCTCACAGGATTGGTATGGTATGCACAATAAACAAGCCGCCTCCGGCGGCATAAATCTAAATCCAAAGAATCGTCTTTAAGCGGTACTCTTCAGTGCTAAGATAATAAAGAGCCAAAACAAGCTACTGTACTTAGAAAATAAATTTAATTTAATAAAGGGCAACTAAAAACATGGAACACTGTTTCCCAGATATTGGGGGTCAAAGAACTCCAATAAAAAAAGTTTCTAGCAGATGACCGTGGAATGGTATCAGCCACTGGCATTGCTTCTAAATTCAATAATTTCTTCTCATCAATCGGTACATCTCTCTCAAATGAGATACCAGCATCCCAAATTAACGTGACTCCCTCTTGGGCAGCTATTCAGAGTCTATATCTCGCTTAAAACTATACAAGTTAACTTTTTGAGATACCAACCTTAATTGTCTATCGACTTAGTCTCGTCGGTAACGCGGAGGTCTCGCTTTTTGCAGGTCGGCGTTCAATCCCCAGTGGTCACTGGTTGGGCACCATTCCTTCCCTTCATCCTATCTTAGCTCCTTGCCCTTATATCCCTCCAAGTACTATACAGTATAGCCATACTGACTTAGTTTTCTCTTCATAATTATTTTACAACTCTTGAGGCTTTTTTTTATTGTATTTAGGGTCCATAGCATTACTATACAATAAATCACTTTAACTCTGAGTTATCTCTGATATTCTTACAAAAAAAGTTGGAGTAATCCTAGTCCATAACAATTTTTGCTAAAATCATCAAATTTCAGACCAATATTAATCCAGCCTACCAAGTCCAAATATTCAGCCCTGTTTAGGTAGTACTTGTAGTAACGATGAGGACCATCGTACATATATTGACGTAAAAGGCAATTAGAAAAGCAGACATCGGTACTGTTTGAATTTGAACAAACTTGGAATGTTTTTGTATTATGTTGCAAAGAAAATTTAACCTAACCTACCTTTCCTAGGCCTAATACACCCTGAGGCCTAATATAGTACATATATGTGCTATACAAGGCCAAGGAATATTTAAGTTTGGGTCTTAGATTTATTTTTTCAGACTCTTGTAAAGCGAATAGTACTAAATTCTGTTATCTAATTGACCATTACGTGTATGTACGATGGTCCACAGTTACAAAAAGTACTTTCTAAACAGGAGGATAGAGTTGAAATACAATATATGAAAAGGTAATGTATAACAGCTTTATTCCTATCTAGCTTAATTTAATATAATTAGTTCTAAATTTGAATATACTTAGTATGCTTAAGTCAATATGGCTTAAGATCCCCCCCCAAAAAAAAAAAATCACATGATTCGGCTCTTTACAAAAAAAAAAGAGTAAATTTATTTCTTGACCTACCTTAACAACAAACTGAAATTAAAATCGCCATATACAAAATGCAAGTTTCTAAAACAGTAGGCATTCTCTCAAAGCCGAAACTACGTACTTCGCTTTGCCCTGATAACATTATATTATTCACTCATTTATACATATCTTATTTGCGGCATCTGCGCCGAGGAACCTAGAACCCAATATTACCTTCGACCCATACATACTCAACATAAATCAGAAATTAGAACAAAAGTAAACTCCAAAATCAAGCAGTATTCTACACCTTTACCAAAATCCTTGCTTGTTAAATATCAAATCACACTCGACTGGAATACAAATACTGACCTCAAATGCTTCCCAGAAGGCTGTAAGGGAAGTTATGGGCACCATACGAGACACGAATATAGTACCTGATATTCCGAAAGTCCCACTTAACCAAAGAAGAAAGGCCATACAAATTAAGGGTCCTGAACTGTTGAGTGACCTCCCAGGTGAATCTAAAACTGTACTTCTCGCAATCTGTTTACAAGAGAAACGAAGAAATAATGGATAGTATGTAGCCAATTTTACTCGCATTTCCTCACCCTAATTGTTAATATTTCTTTAGTGTTACAGTATTGTGAACATTAAATACTATATCTGTATTGGTGCGGTAATCACATTTTCTATATTTACTAGTTGTCTTTCATCATTAAACGTTCCTTAAAAATTTTAAATAATTTGATAACTTTTTTAAACACTTCAAATATGCTAACTTATTTCTCGATTAGTATTGAGTATTACCCTATTAAACCAGTTATGTTATTAAGTTATGCCCGAAACGCTGTGTGTATTAGTGTTTTATACAAATTAGTGTGTGTACCACGAATACTAGACTGTCACATTTAAAGTGTACTTCATATAAATATGAATTATTATTAATTATTATTATAGCGGGAGAGGGGAGGAAGCTGTTTAGTGGGAGAAACGAGAGAAAGCTTTGCTCATCTAGTTGTGCTTGCGGAGGTTGAGCTCTGGCTCCTTGGTCCCGCCTCTCAACTGTCAATCAACTGGATTACAGATTCCTGAGCCTACTGGGCTCTATTATATCTACATTTGAAACTGTGTATGGAGTCAGCCTCCACCACATCACTGCCTAATGCAGTGATGTGGTGGAGGCTGACTCCATACACAGTTTCAAATGTAGATATATTTCCACCACATCTGTTATATACTCTGACACTGAAAAAGTTCTTTCTAGCGTCCCTGTGGCTCATTTGGGCACTCAGTCTCCACCTGTGTCCCCTTGTTCGCGTACCACCCGTGTTATACAGTTTATCGTTGTCTACCCTGTCAATTCCTCTGAGAATTTTGTAGATAGTGACCATGTCTCCCCTTACTCTTGTCTTCCAGCGTCGTGAGGTGCATTTCACGCAGCCTTTCCTCGTAACTCAGTGTAGCGGGAGAAATGAGCGGAAGCTGTGTAGTGAGAGAAAGAGGAGAGGAGAGGTTGCTGTGAAGTGGGAGAGATGAGGAAGCTGTGTAGCGGGGGGAGAGGAAAGGAAGCTGTGTAGCGGGGGGGAGAGGAGAGGAAACTGTGTAGCGGGGGAGTTGTTGTTTTAGATTTAGGTACTCAGAACGAAATGTCCATGTAGCACGATCTATAGTGAGCCCGTAAAACGGAGAAGAGGAGAAGAGAGGAAGCTAATACAGTGGATCCTGGGGTGGATGGAGATGGAATAGATGGAGGTAGGAATAGGAACTTTCAGTGCGAGGAGTGGTGATGGTGTGGTTGGAAAGTGAGGGATGAAGGAGCAGGGTGAGGAGTGTGTGGCGGTGAAGGGCAGGAGTGCCCGTGGTGAGGTTAAAAGTTCAAACAAGTTTATATAGGTAATGAAATCCATCTCAAAAGGATAGAGTAGCATAGACTACTTCTACCCGGTGGTGAGGTACCAAGATGTGTAGCAGGCGACAAAAGGAAGTTTATAGTAAATAGATTTAAATAGTGTATAGACTAGACTGACGAGTATAGGCAGCAGCCTATGCACATCAGCAGTAGTATAGGCTGCTGACGTTTATGTGGTGCAGTATCAGTAAATTCTAACAATGACGCTATATTCTATTATGGTATCTGTGAGCAACACATGTACACTGTTTTTCCCCGGGCATCTTCCTCTCTCTGCCCTGAACAATTCGCGACAGCAAAAACCACACCAGACCTTGAACTTGCCCAACTACTTTTTTTGTACCCTTCGCACAAGCTGTTTCGATGGCCAGTGGCGTTTTCGTCATTATCAAATGTTGCCTGTCTTATTTTATTAGCATTTTATACTACCAGCATGGGATACTGTGGGTAGGGCTTGTCTAATCAGAATAATGAGACCACAGTTGAAAAGATGGTCTCGCAAGTGTGCAGGACTGACTGGCTAGATATAGACGCGTGGTCGCGACGAAGCAAATGTCATGCGATCTTTGTCTTTATATAAAGTCGGGCATTGCATTGCCTTGCTATATATTGTAATGAGCCACAAAATGATAGGCAAGTCTAGAGGCATGATTCACATGTACATTCAAAATTTCTTCTAGCTGGACGCAGACGAGCCAAGCATTTATGATTGATCAACACACTTTGGATATAATTAAGCAAAAATTTTATTTTTTTGTATTGGATGTTAATATTAGCGCGCTTAAAGTTGTGCTTGCGAGACGTTACACCACCCGTAATTATTATAATATAAAATTCTGTATTAAAATGTTATGATGTATGGTATAGTTGGACAAAGTTCGATTTATTACGCACTAAAATACCAGCTGACGGAAATTTCAGACATCAATTGATACCACGAGTTGGGAATCATTCCATTAGAACTTTTAAAGCTGAATGAAAAAAAAACATAAATTTACTCAAACGCATATTATATAAATAATATGGCCTAACCTACTCAAAACAATAAATATCCTGCCGTTACTAAGGAACTAGGAGCTGGAGAAATGGAGACGCGGGTTGCGGTGGATGGCCTGTGGCCTCTGCCTGG